ACCAAAAACAATTTTTTATTGGCTCGATTCCAATCGAATTATACTAGCAATTCGACAGTAAGAACAAACCCGAAGTTATCTTGAAATCAAAACCAACTTTTCATTGGCTTGATTCCAATCGAATTAGACTAGCAACTCACCAAAAACGAAGAAACCCGAAGTTATCATGAAATCAAAAACCACTTTTCATTGGCTCGATTCCAATCAAATTAGACTAGCAATTCCCCAAAAACGAACAAACCTGAAGTTATAATGAAACCAAAAGCAACTTTTCATTGGCTCGATTCCAATTGAATTAGACAAGCAATTTCCTAAAAACAAAGAAAGTCGAAGTTAACTTGAAATCAAAAACCACTTTTCACTGGCTTGATTTCAATCGAATTAGACTAGCGATTCGCGAAAAAGAACAAACCCGAAGTTATCATGAAATCAAAACCAACTTTTCATTGGCTTGATTTAAATCGAATTAGACTAGAAAATTGCCGAAAAGAACAAACCCAAAGTTATCTTGAAATCAAAACAAACGTTTCATTGGCTCGATTGCAATCGAATTAGGCTAGCAATTCGCAAAAAAGAACAAACACGAAGTTATCATGAAATCAAAAATAACTTTTCATTGGCTCGATTCCAATCGAATTAGACTAGTAATTCGCCAAAAAGAACAAAGTCGAAGTTATCATGAAATCAAAAATCACTTTTCACTGGCTCGATTTGTAACGATCCAAAATTTAAAGATTTGGGATCGTTACCAAAAACATTTGTTCATAATTAAATAAATGATGTCAAACATTCGATGGAAAGCATAATTAACTGAACCATGTTTCAAACATTAAATTTCAAATTTAACATGATGATAAAATTGAAATAACGCAAAGAAAAATAAATAAATAAAACTTCCTAATCATGTTACTCAGAATTTATTTATCTTGAATTCCATAATTTCTGGCGTCACAATTCCACCGCACCGCCCGCCAACCAACGACCCGTTCTAATCGTCATATCATATCTTTAGAACTGGTAAGAGCTCATGTCATATCATATCATATCATATCATTTCTTTGGTACCGGGTTGCCATTTCAAAATATCATAATCATATCATAACTTTCATGAGTATAATATTTATCAACATGAGGAAATAATTTAAACGAGACGAACCACTTTCACATCGTAATCCTACCTTGTAAGATTGAATAAATTCTTGAAAGAAGAAATCCAAAATTATGTTCCTAATCTTGTAATTTTTTCTTGGCTGCCTTAGAGTGAAAACCGCCTTTCGAGACCCTTTTTGTTCATTATTTATGTTGGAAACAATTCCCAATTTGACACTGCCGTCCTACATATACATATGCTGTGTGGAGTATTTTGGTGCAAATAGAATTCTAGAGTGGTGGAAACGTGTGCCACAAGAAGCTTGGATAAAGGCCTCAAATGATAAACTTATCCAAATAATTTAGGAAGACAGTTAAACATTTCTTATCAACGTGAAACGTGGCTGGTGGTGGAAAGTTATAATATATATTATTTGTGATTAGGATGGATTTAACACTAACCAAGTGGAAGGCTCAAAGACAAATACCCATTAAATTAATTAAAATACTATAAAACATCAATTTCTTTAAATGTCAATATCTTAGGCTTAAATTATCCAAATCAACATTTTCTTGAGCTTAACATGCATGATTAATTACGATCTATCCAACGAGCCCAATATTCATATACAAATTATTACTCCGTCAATATCTACATTTTAACCCAAATGAAATTGAAATTTGCTATATACATTTTAGTCCCTAACTTTTTGAAATATTAAAATATAGTACACATAACTTAAATTCTATTTTATGAATTTTCGGGACATTACAATCTCCACTCCTTAAAATATTTTCGTCCTCGAAAATTTACCTTGGCTAATCGAAGAGCTCTGGATACTTGGTTCTAAGCTCTTCTTCCTTCTCCCATGTTGACTCTTCTCGTCCATGATTTCGCCATTGCACTTTGATCAGGGGAACTTCTCTGTTTCTGAGTTGGTGTACTTTTCTTTCCAAAATCATCGTTGGAATTTCTTCATATGATAGATCTTTTTGTACCTCCAAAGTTTGGTAACTTACCACATGATTGGGATCATGAACATATTTTCTAAGCATCGAAACATGGAATACATTATGCACTGCTGCAAGTTCAGGTGGTAAGGCAAGTCGATAAGCTACAACACCAATCCTTTCGAGAATCTCGAAATTTCCAATAAATCGTGGTCTCAACTTCCCTTTCTTTCCAAATCTCAATATACCCTTCATTGGTGCTACCTTTAGAAAAACCTTGTCGCTCACTTGAAATTCTAAATCCTTTCTTCTACTATCAGCATAACTTTTCTCATGGTCTTGTGCTGCCTTTATTCTTGTTCTAATTTTATCAACTGCTTCAACTGTTCGTTCAATGATTTCAGGACCCAAAATTTGGCTTTCCTCGACCTCGTCCCAATGGATAAGAGATCTGCACTTTCTACCATAAAGGGCTTCATATGGGGCCATACCTTTAGTGGCTTGAAAACTATTGTTGTAAGCAAACTCTACTAAAGGTAGGAGTATTTCCCAACTCCCTCCAAGATCTAGAATACATGCTCTCAACATATCTTCCAGAGTTTGAATGGTTCTATCTGATTGTCCATCCGTCTGAGGATGATAAGCAGTGCTAAATTTCAATTTCGTCCCCATGGCTATCTGCAAGCTTTTCTAAAATTTAGATGTGAACCTCGGGTCTCTATCTGAAACAATGGTGACTGGAATTCCATGCAATCTGATTATCTCTTTGATGTATAACTGTGTGAGCTGTTCCATGTTGAAGTTTACTTTGATGGGTAGAAAATGGGTTGACTTTGTTAGACGATCCACCACTACCCAGATAGCATTGTGACTTTTTGCTGACCTTGGGAGGCCTACCACAAAGTCCATCGTTATGTGTTCCCACTTCCATTCTGGAATATCCAATGGTTTCAGTAGCCCTACTGGCCTTTGATGTTCTGCCTTGACCTGTTGACAGATAATACAGTTTTCAACGAATAGACCAATTCCTCTCTTCATGCTTCTCCACCAAAATGTATCTCGGAGATCTCGATACATTTTCGTATCACCTGGACGTGCGAAATACGGAGTAGAGTGAGCCTCTTCCAATATCTCATTTCTTATACTTTCATCTTTAGGTACACACAACCTTCCTTTAAAAGTCAATACTTTATCTGCAGATACCTCAAATCATATACACTTGTTTGTACCAATCTTAGCTTTAATCTTCTGTAAAAATGGATCCTTATCCCGTGCTTCTTTAATTCAATCCTGAAGAGTGGGTTGAATCATAAATGCTCTTATTCTTACTGTAGTCTGAGTTGGCGGTGTGATAACTTCCAATCTTAGTTTCTCAAAGTCCCTTATCAAGTGTTCTTGCACCGTAGGTAAAACTGGTAACTGCGCTCCCGTCTTTCTGCTTAAGGCATCTGCAACTACATTAGCCTTACCCGAATGGTAATGAATTGTGCAGTCATAATCTTTTACTAACTCCAACCATCTCCTCTGCCTCATATTCAGTTCTTTTTGTGTGAAAAAGTATTTGAGACTCTTGTGGTCTGTATAAATTTCACACTTCCCACCATAGAGATAATGACGCCATATCTTTAAGGCGTGAACTACTGCTGCAAGCTCCAAGTCGTGTGTTGGGTAGTTTTGTTCATACTGCTTCAACTGTCTCGAGGTGTAAGCAACCACTTTTCCATGTTGCATCAATACATAGCCTAAACGTTGTTTGGAGGCATCGCTGTAAATCACAAATCTGTCAGAGCTATCTGGTATCGTCAATACAGGAGCTGAAACTAGTCTCTGCTTGAGTTCTTGAAAACATTTCTCACATTTTTCTGTCCACTGAAACTTCACCCCCTTTCTCGTCAGTTGGGTCATCGGCTCTGCTATTTTTGAGAAGCCTTCAATGAATCTTCTATAATAACCAGCCAATCCCAAGAAACTGCGAACTTCACCCACACTGCTCGGCCTTGGCCAATTTGTTACTGCTTCTACTTTTGTAGGATCTACTTCGATTCCTTGGGCGGTGACCACATGACCAAGGAAACCTACACGATCAAGCCAAAGTTCACACTTCTTGAATTTGGCATATAATTTCTCATTCCTTAAGGTTTCAAGTACTACTTGGAGTTGTTCCTCATGCTGTTTCTTGTCTTTGGAGTACACGAGTATGTCGTCAATAAATACTATGACGAATTGGTCTAAGTATTGATGAAACACTCTGTTCATGAGATCCATAAATACAGCTGGAGCACTGGTCAAACCAAAAGGCATGACAGTGAATTCATAGTGTCCATAACGAGTCCTGAAAGCAGTTTTTGGTATATCACTTGCCCTGATTTTCAGCTGATGGTACCCTGACCTCAAGTCGATCTTTGAAAACACTGTAGCACCTCTTAACTGGTCGAATAAATCTTCTATTCTTGGCAGCGAATACTTATTTTTTATGGTCAAATGGTTTAATTCCCGGTAGTCAATGCACATCCTCATACTTCCATCCTTCTTCTTCACAAAAAGTACAGGAGCTCCCCAAGGAGATACACTTGGTCGAATGAAACCTTTCTCCAACAACTCCTCTAATTGTAACTTCAATTCTTGAAGTTCTTTTGGTGCCATTCGGTATGGGGCCTTGATACTGGTGCTGCTCCAGGAACCAAATCAATTGTAAATTCCACTTGCCTATCTTGTGGAATGCCTGGTAAATCTTCTGGAAATATGTCTGCAAAATCTCGCACAATGTTAATATCATTAACAGTCGTTTCTGGATGTTGGGGACTGGTGATATTAGCTAGAAATCCTTGACACGACTCCTTTTTCAACATCTTTTCTGCTTGAGTAGTTGATACAAGACGAGGCAAAGACTTGAACTTTGCTCTAGAGAAACGAAATTCTTCTTCTCCCGGTCTGTGAAACAATACATCTTTCTCGTGACATCAAATGGTCGCATGATTAAGTCCCAACCAATCCATGCCCAAAATAACATCGAAATCTTTCATCTCCAAAAGGTATAAGTCTACTTGTAAAATTTTCCAATCAATCTCTAACTTTATAGCCTTAGTCATCCGATTTGTACAAAGAGTTCTTCCTGAAGGGATGCTAACCTCTAATTCATAATTCGTTTTCACACATGCAAGGTTTGACCTAGCGACTAAGGATGTAGAGAAAAAAGAATTGGTAGCCCCAGAATCAAAAAGTATGTAAGCGGGTACATCAGATAATAACAGAATACCTGTTTGTAATTATAGTGTTAGACTAGCAATTAAGGGACAGAGATAAAATAATGTATGGTCATAGGTAAAAAGAACATAAGCACGTATGTTGAAAATATTAATAGTAAGATACCTGCAATCACATTCGGATCCTGATCCGCCTCATGCTGATTCAGTGCAAAAACTCGAGCCTTTCCTTTCTTATTCTTGTCTTGATCATCATCTTTCTTCTCTGGAGGCTCTGTGCAGTTGAGAGCAATGTGTCCTGGTTTACCACACTGGAAACACATGTTCTTCCCAAGTAAACATTCACCCCTATGGAGTTTATTACACTTAGGACAGGGTGTAATACTCCCACTTGTCCCACCAATACGAACTCCTGTGCTTGGCCTTTTATTGTGCCAGTTATGTCTGTTCTTACCTTGATCACTCCACTTCCTTTTCCCCAACGACTCCTTGCTCTGCTGGGCATACTGTTCAAATGAGGTCCTCTGATATGAAATAGCATGAACCCTCTCCAACATTTCACGATATGAGGTGAAACAATGGGACATAATGATCATGCCGATCTCAAGGTGCAGTCCATTCTCGAACCTCCTAATCTTCTTAACTTCTGTATCCACCAAGTGCGGGGCATACCTTGAGAGCTATTTAAACTGTCTTTCATAATCAGTAAGTGACATGTTCCCCTGTCTGAGCTGCAGAAATTCTGATTCGTTAAAGTCCCTCAAAGCCTGTGGGAAATATTTTGCCATCACTTCGTCTTTAAACTGCTCCCAAGTCAGATTACGTTGCTGCTCTTCCGTCCTTGTACGTGAAACAGATTCCCACCAGTGACCAGCTGCTCCAATCAACATAAATTCTGCGCATAATACTTTCTGTGCATCCATACAAGCAATGTGTCGAAATATGTGCTCCAGGCCTCTTATCCACTCTTCGACAACCAGTGGTTCAGAATTATCGTCAAAAGTGGAAGGCTTGTACCTACGAAACTGCTCAACCACTGAGACGGCTCCAAGGGCAAAATGCGGTGCATTTTGCTGTGGCAATACATTTTGTGGTGGAGGTGCTTGATTTTGCCTACTCAACTCTTGTACCGCTCATAGTAAATCGCGCATCAAATTCGTATGAGTAGGTGGTGCCATTTCCTAAAATTTAATATGAAGTTACGATCACATTTCAGCACTAAGTCTATCACATTATACTTATTTTTATCATAATACATATCATCAATTTAGTGGGAAATAAAGTGCATGTCTTAAAGATTTAGAAGTAGGCAATCTAAAATATTGAAATTATTGAAAACATCTAAATGCATTCATTTTCTTACCCTTTTACATACCTTAGAGTCGTTGGAGGGTGGTTGATTGGTTGTCGTTGAGTGCCAAAGATCATTCACATATTTAATAACTTTAAATTATCACTATCGTTAAATTCATAAATTTTCATAAAAATATTAACATTTAACAAATTGCACAATGAAACAATTAAACATTTTATTACACGTAACATTTAAAACGTGTAAAATCCAATGTTTATATATATACTAGCAAATGCAATAAGTTCGACTAAACTTTTCTTATTATCATAATAATTAATTTTTAAACTTAAATTCTTTAATTCTTAAAAAGGAAAGTTGGGCCGGTTACAAGTTTAATGATGCATTATTGACTTAATTCAAATAATTACAACTACCTAATAGTCTTCTTATATCATGTCTATTAATGGATTAATTAAAACCAACTAAACTTTTGAGACCTTGCCTATGTTGACAAAACAAAAAAAAGAAAAAAAAAAGAAAAAAAAAGAAAAAGGAAATCATTTGGGATTTTTGGAAAATTTATTCGAAATATCACCAATCAAGGAATCTTTAAAACTTTCTGTAATTGCAATTTCATCATTTAGTTCAGGTGACATAGCATGTTAGAATCAAAATAAGATGGCGATTGAAAATTAGTAATAATTAATTAAAAATTATAAACATGTCATTTAATCCTATTTTATCGCTTGAAGCCCTCTCTTCTCGCTCATTCCCGACTAATGGCAACCTTCACTAGTCCGGTATTATAGCTTTTTTTGAACCAACTTCAATTTCAACCCTCATCAAATCCAGATACCAATCCAATGAGTTCGATGATCTTTCCTAGAGCTAGAGCAGAGTTAGGAAGGGATTGAACCCATTAGTATGATAAAATCGCAGACTGTGGTGAGTATGCCTTTTTCTTCTTCAAGCTAGAGAAGGGGCTTCAACTCGTTCAAATGCCGCTGTTGGTGTTACCGGTGTGGGAGTATGAGTGATCCTATCCGCTGCTTGGATCTTTCCTGTGTTTGCACAAATCCCCTGTTCCCCTTGCGGGTGGATGCATCGAATGCAAGGCAAGCAGCTCCTCTCATGTGTTCGAGTGGCTTTTGCTCCTCTCGAAAAGACTTTGAGGTTTAGAATCCCGCCCTATAACATTACTCAATTAAACAACTAATAATTAAATATTCATTACACACAACATTTAGAACAGTGACGTTACTGTTCACGTCTAAAATATTTTTTTTATTATTTTTTTTTTCATAAACCAAATTATGAGAATACATGTGGGTCTACAGGAAATTAAACCTCTGCTCTGATACCAAACTGTAACGACCCAAAATTTAAAGATTTGGAATCGTTACCAAAAATATTTATTTCATAATTAAATAAATGATGTCAAACATTCTATGGAAAACATAATTAACTGAACCATGTTTCAAACATTTAATTTTAAATTTAACATGATGATAAAATTGAAATAACGCAAAGAAAAATAAATAAATAAAACTTCCTAATCATGTTACTCAGAATTTATTTACCTTGAATTCCATAATTTCTAGCGTCACAATTCCACCGCACCGCCCACCAACCAACGACCCGTTCTAATTGCCATATCATATCATTAGAACCGGTAAGAGCTCATGTCATATCATATCATATCATTTCTTTGGTACCGGGTTGCCATTTCAAAATATCATAATCATATCATAACTTTCATGAGTATAACATTTATCAACATGAGGAAATAATTCAAACGAGACGAACCACTTTCACATCGTAATCCTACCTCGTAAAATTGAATAAATTCTTGAAAGAAGAAATCCAAAATTATGTTCCAAATCTTGTAATTTTTTCTTGGCTGCCTTAGAGTGAAAACAGCCTTTCGAGACCCTTTTTGTTCACTATTTATGCTGGAAACAATTCCCATTTGAAACTGACGTCCTACATATACATATGCTGTGTGGAGTATTTTGGTGCAAATAGAATTCTAGAGTCGTGAAAACGTGTGCCACAAGAAACTTGGATAAAGGCCTCAAATGATAAACTTATCCAAATAATTTAGGAAGATAGTTAAACATTTCTTATCAATGTGAAACGTGGCTGGTGGTGGAAAGTTATAATATATATTATTTGTGATTAGGATGGATTTAAAACTAACCAAGTGGAAGGCTCAAAGACAAATACCCATTAAATTAATTAAAATACTATAAAACATCAATTTCTTTAAATGTCAATATCTTAGGCTTAAATTATCCAAATCAACTTTTTCTTGAGCCTAACATGCATGATTAATTACGATCTATCCAACGAGCCCAATATTCATATACAAATTATTACTCCGTCAATATCAACATTTTACCCCAAATGAAATTGAAATTTGCTATCTACATTTTAGTCCCTAACTTTTCGAAATATTAAAATATAGCACACATAACTCAAATTCTATTTTGTGAATTTTCGGGACATTACACGATTCCAATCGAATTAGACTAGCAATTCGCCAAAAATAAAAAAGCTCGAAGTTATCATGAAACCAAAAATAACTTTTCATTGGCTCGACTCCAATCGAATTATACTAGCAATTCGCCAAAAAGAACAAACCCGAAATTATCATGAAATCAAAAACCACTTTTCATTGGCGCGATTCCAATCGAATTAGACTAGCAATTCACCAAAAATGAAGAAACCCGAAGTTATCATGAAGTCAAAAACCACTTTTCATTGGCTCGATTCCAATCGAATTAGACTAGCAATTCCCCAAAAACGAACAAACCTAAAGTTATAATGAAACCAAAAACAACTTTTCATCGACTCGATTCCAATCGAATTAGACAAGCAATTCCCCAAAAATAAACAAAGTCGAAGTTAACTTGAAATCAAAAACCACTTTTCACTGGCTCAATTCCAATCGAAATAGACTAGCGATTCTCAAAAAATGAACAAACCCGAAGTTATTATGAAATCAAAACTAACTTTTCATTGGCTCGATTCAAATCGAATTAGTCTAGAAAATTGCCAAAAAGAACAAACCCGAAGTTATCATGAAATCAAAACCAACTTTTCATTGGCTCGATTGCAATCGAATTAGACTAGCAATTCGCAAAAAAGAATAAACACGAAGTTATCATGAAATAAAAAATCACTTTTCATTGGCTCGATTCCAATCGAATTAGACTAGCAATTCGCCAAAAACGAAGAAAGTCGAAGTTATCATGAAACCAAAAACAACATTTCATTGCCTCGATTCCAATCGAATTAGAGTAGTAATTCACCAAAAGAACAAACCCGAAATTATAATGAAATCAAAACCGACTTTTCATTGGCTCGATTTTAATCGAATTAGACTAGAAATTCGCCAAAAAGAACAAACCCCAAGTTATCATGAAATCAAAAACCACTTTTCATTAGCTCGACTACCATCAAATTAGACTAGCAATTCGGCAAAAATGAAAAAACCCGAAGTTATCATGAAATCAAACGCTCGATTGCAATCGAATTATACTAGCAATTCGACAAAAAGAACAAACCCGAAATTATCATGAAATCAAAACCAACTTTTCATAGGCTCGATTCCAATCGAATTAGACTAGCAATTTTCCAAAAACGAACAAAATCGAAGTTTTCATGAAATCAAAACCACTTTTCACTGGCTCGATTCCAATCGACTTAGACTAGCAAATTGCCAAAAATGAACAAAGTTGAAGTTATCATGAAATCAAAAACCACTTTTCACTGGCTCGATTCCGAACGAATTAGACTAGCAATTCGCCAAAAACGAACAAAGTCAAAGTTATCATGAAACCAAAAACAACTTTTCATTGCCTCGATTCCAATCGAATTAGAGTAGCAATTCACCAAAAAGAACAAACCCGACGTTATCACGAAATTAAAATCGACTTTTCATTGGCTCGATTCCAATCGAATTTGACTAGCAATTCGACAAAAAGAACAAATTCGAATATCATGAAATCAAAAACCACTTTTCATTGGCTTGATTCCAATCGAATTAAACTAGCAATTTCTCAAAAAAAACAAAGTCGAAGTTATCATGAAATCAAAAATCCCTTTTCACCGACTCGATTCCAATCGACCTAGACTAGCAATTCACCAAAACAGAAAAAACCCGAAGTTATCTTGAAACCAAAAACAACCTTTCATTGGCTCGATTCCAATCGAATTATACTAGCAATTCGAAAAAAAGAACAAACCCGAAGTTATCATGAAATCAAAACCAACTTTTCATTGGCTCGATTCCAATCGAATTAGATTAGCAATTTTCCAAAAACGAACAAAGTCGAAGTTATCATGAAATCAAAAACCACTTTTCACTGGCTCGATTCCAATCGAACTAGACTAGCACTTCGCAAAAAATAAAAAAGCCCAAAGTTATCATGAAACCAAAACCAACTTTTCATTGGCTCGATTCAATTCTAATTATACTAGCAATTCGCCAAAAAGAACAAACCCGAAGTTATCATGAAATCAAAAACCAGTTTTTATTGGATCGATTCCTATCGACCTAGACTAGCAATTCGCCAAAAATGAAAAAACCCGAAGTTATCATGAAACCAAAAACAACTTTTCATTGGCCCAATTCTAATAGAAATAAACTAGCAATTCGCCAAAAAGAACAAACCTGAAGTTATCATGAAATCAAAACCAACTTTTCATTGGCTCGATCCCAATCGAATTAGACTAGCCATTTGCTAAAAACGAACAAAGTCGAAGTTATCATGAAATCAAAAACCACTTTTCACTCGCTCGATTCCAATCGAATTAGAATAGCAATTCGCCAAAACTGTAAAAACCTGAAGTTATCATGAAACCAAAAATAACTTTTCATTGGCTCGATTTCAATCGAATTATACTAGCAATTCGACAAAAAGAACAAACCCGAAGTTATCATGAAATCAAAACCGACTTTTCATTGGCTCAATTCCAATCGAATTAGACTAGCTATTTTCCAAAAACGAACAAAGTCGAAGTTATCATGAAATCAAAAACCACATTTCACTGGCTCGATTCCAATCGAATTAGACTAGCAATTCGTAAAAAATGAAGAAACCCGAAGTTATCATGAAATCAAAAACCACATTTCACTGGCTCGATTCCAATCGAATTAGACTAGCAATTAGCCAAAAATAAAAAAGCCCGAAGTTATCATGAAACCAAAAACAACTTTTCATTGGCTCGATTCCAATCGGATTATACTAGCAATTCGTCAAAAAGAACGAACCCGAATTTATCATGAAATCAAAAACCACTTTTCATTGCCTCGATTCCATTCGAATTAGACAAGCAATTCACCAAAAATGAAGAAACCCGAAGTTATCATGAAATCAACAACCACTTTTCATTGGCTCGATTCCAATCGAATTAGACTAGCAATTCCCCAAAAATGAAGAAACCTGAAGTAATAATGAAACCAAAAACAACTTTTCGTTGGCTCGATTCCAATCGAATTAGACAAGCAATTCCCCAAAAACAAACAAAGTCGAAGTTAACTTGAAATCAAAAACCACTTTTCACTGGCTCGATTCCAATCAAATTAGACAAGCGTTTTGCAAATAACGAACAAACCCTAAGTTATCATGAAATCAAAACCAACTTTTCATTGGCTCGATTCAAAAGAAATTAGACTAGAAAATTGCCAAAAAGAACAAACCCGAAGTTATAATGAAGCCAAAAACAACTTTTCATCGCTCGATTCCAATCGAATTACACTAGCAATTCGCCAAAAAGAACAAACCCAAAGTTATCATGAAATCAAAAACCACTTTTCATTGGCTCGATTCCAATCGAATTAGACTAGCGATTCGCCAAAAATGAACAAAGTCGAAGTTATCATGAAATCAAAAACCACTTTTCATTGGCTCGATTCCAATCGAATTAGACTAGCGATTCGCCAAAAATGAACAAAGTCGAAGTTATCATGAAATCAAAACCAACTTTTCATTGGTTCGATTCCAATCGAATTAGACTAGCTATTTTCCAAAAACGAAAAAAGTCGAAGTTATCATGAAACGAAAAACAACTTTTCATTGGCTCGATTCCAATCGAATTATACTAGCAATTCGACAATAAGATCAAA